ACCGCTCCATTCCTGTTCACACTGAAATTCCTAGTCCCATCCCTACTCAGATTCCCATTGCAGGGGTAGGAGCCTGGGCATTCGGCCCTGAATTAACTCTAAGCACTAACAGAATCAGGGCAGAGTGTTTGAATGTGCTCCCAGTCAGGGCTGGCTTTAGGCCAATTCCCCCGATTCCACCGAATCGGGCCCTGCGCCTAGGAGGGCCCCGCACCCAGCCAGAGTGCGGCAAGCCCCGCGGCCCAGGGCTGGCTTTAGCAAGTGCGGGGCCCAATTCGTGGGGCTTGTACTCACCGGGCGGCGCTCCGAGTCTTTGGTGGTACTTCGGATTGCCGCGCTCTGGCCGGGGGAGGGGGGCTGCGGGGATTGCTGCGCTCCGGTCCGGGGAGTGGGGCCGCGTGCTTAGAGCTGTCTGCCCACTCTCCGGCTAGGGGAAGGGGGCAGCGGGGCTTGCTGCGCTCTGGATGGGGTAGCGGGACCGTGGGACTTGCTGCGCTCTGGCCGGCGCTCTGACTGGGGGAGTGGGGCCATGGGGTTGCTGGGCTCCGCCGGGGTTGTGGGGCCGTGGGCTTACCGCACTCTGGCTGGTCGCGGGGCCCTCTTAGGCACGGGGCCCGATTCGGGGGAATCGGGGAAATCGGCCTAATGCCGGCCCTGCCACAGCCCTGCTACCCCGGTCAGAGCGCATCCTGAGCACTGCAAGTCCCGCGGCCCCGCTACCCCGTCTGGAGCTCGGCAAGCCCCACGGCCCCGCTACCCTGGCCAGAGCGCGGCAAGTCCCGCGGCCCCGCTACCCCAGTCGGAGCTCGGCAAGCCCCACGGCCCCACTACCCCGGCCAAAGCTTGGCAATCCTAGAGGCCCTGCTACCCCGGCCGGAGCCCACCAACCCCGTGACCCGCTTCCCTGGCAAGAGAGCTGGCAGACAGCTGTAAGCACGCGGCCCCGCTCCCCGGACCGGAGCGTGGCAAGTCCTGCCACCCCGCTCCCCTGGCCAGAGTGCAGCAAGTCCCGCTGCCCCCTTCCCCTGGCTGGAGAGCAGGCAGACAGTTCTAAGCACGCGGCCCCGCTCCCCCATCCGGAGCACGGCAATCCGAAGTGCTGCCGAAGACTCGGAGCGCCGCCTGGTGAGTACAAGCCCCACGAATCGGGCCCCACACTTCCTAAAGCTGGCCCTGCTCCCAGTAATGGTACCAATCAGTGCAAAAATCACACCCAGGAAGCCACATGGCCTGTTAGACAGGATGCTACAGTGAACCAGAACAGCACAGGGGTTTCTTTTGGGGGTGGCAGAAGTTGAGGGGCCAAGAGTGTGTTAAGGCAGGGGAAGTGGGGCTGGAAGGAGCCTTTATGAACTAATTTATGCCTGCAATTAAGAACATAAGTATGGCCATACTGGGTCAGATCAAAAGTCCATCCAGCCCAGTATCCTGTCTACCAACAGTGGCCAATGCCAGGTGCCTCAGAGGGAGTGAACCTAACAGGCAATGATCAAGTGATCTCTCTCCTCCCATCCATCTACACCCTCTGACAAACAGAAGCTAGGGACACCATTCCTTACCCATCCTGGCTAATAGCCATTAATGGACTTAACCTCCATGAATTTATCCAGTTGTCTTTTAAACCCTGTTATAGTCCTAGCCTTCACAACCTCCTCAGGCAAGGAGTTCCACAGGTTGACTGTGCACTATGTGAAGAAGAACTTCCTTTTTTTTTAAACCTGCTGCCCATTAATTTCATTTGGTGGCCCCTAGTTCTTATATTATGGTAACAAGTAAATAACTTTTCCTTATTCACTTTCTCCACACCACTCAGGATTTTATATACTTCTATCATACCCCCATCCTTAGTTTCCTGTTTTCCAAGCTGAAAAGTCATCGCCTCTTTAATCTCTCCTCATATGGGACCCGTTCCAAACCCCTAATCATTTTACTTGTCCTTTTCTGAACCTTTTCTAATGCCAGTATAACTTTTTTGAGATGAGGGGACCACATCTGTGCACAGTATTCAAGATGTGGGCATTACACTCTATATTCGTATATGCCTGCTGTGAAATTAAGCGTGGGAAGAAAGTGAAATTAAACCACTGGTTTCTTTGGTTACTCTCCTTTGTACCGAATGGGCTCACTGTTACTGGCAGCCCTTGGGGCCACCAGGAGATACATTCTCATGCAGTTGCGGAGGAAGGCTTTTGGCTGAGGTCAGGTTGGTTTCCTTTCCCTCTGATGTCTGCACGGTAAATACAGGGCGCGGTTCTTTTATGGACTCAGGCTGCCAAGTTTCTGCAGAACTGGGACTGGAGCCCACGTGTCCCCAGCCCAGACCAGTGGGCCAGCAACTACACTGCAGTGCCCCCAAATAAACTCTCCTAAGGGAGCCGTCTCAGCGGGACAGTGCTGCTTCCCTGGATCAGGCTGGCTTGTCCCTATGGAGGAAGGGCCTGGGACCAGCCAACCCTGATTATAAAGGAGCCAAACCTGGGCGAGAAGAGGTGATTGCCCTAAGAAGAGCAGCAGGGGCTGCAGTGAAGGGGGATGCTCGGTGCTCGTCCGGCAGAAAGTCCTGGGGGTTAAGACCAAGACTCCAGCCAGGCAGGGTAATTGATGGGGCCGAGTGTAAATCCCCCCAGTCCCGGTGAGGAAGGGCCGGCCCCTGGATCCTGCTTTCTGTGGCTCTAGGGTTGCTTAAAGCAGCGGGTGAATCCGAAGCATTTCAACTGACCAGACTGAGTCACTGGTGAGAACCTCCAGCAGCCGGACTGTCGGCATCAAACCAGCGGGGACTTTCTCTGCTAACCGCAATGGGAGGTTTTTGTCTGAGCTCAGCCCAGCTTCCCCTCACTCTGTCTCTCGCACAATGATACCGGGCAGTGTCCTCGGGCTTCAGGCCGGTCATTTGCAGATACAGCAGGTTGTTGGAGTTGTCCCTGGAGATGGTGAATCGGCCCTTAACGGAGTCAGCGTAATATATAGTGGTGACAGCAATGAAGGCGATCCACTCCAGTCCCTTCCCGGGAGCCTGACGGACCCAATGCATCCAGTAGCTGCTGAAGGTGAACCCGGAGGCTTTGCAGGAGAGGCGGAGAGAGTCTCCGGGCTTTTTCACATCCCCTCCGGACTCCACCAGCTGCACCTGGGACCGGACACCTTGGAATAAAGACAGGTTACATATTTCAATGGCAACAGTGTAATGTTCCCCTGTTCCCCCAGCACAGTTTCGGGGCTAAAATACCTTCTAAAGCGGCTACAATGAAAAACAAACAGATCCAAATTCCCATTTTCCCTGGTGTTCTCAGGGGAATTGGCTGATAAATGCACAGACCCAGGCGGCTCTGGATTATCTCTACGGGTGCAGCTTGGGCAGAGAGAGAGAGAGGGATGTAAATAGGTAACTCTCACTTCTATTTGCATATTCACCTCCTTTTAAGAGAAACAAAATCTAATGTGATGTATTACATGCAGTAGGACTCAGAGGGAGGGAGTCAGGTTATTCCAGACTGTGTGTTTGTACAGCGCCAGGCACAGTGCGGTGGGATGCTAAATACACTTTTGACAAAGGAAAAATAAAGAGATGCCTGGATGGTGCTCGATTCCCCAGAAGGAAATTTGGGGGCCGGATTACAGCCACGTTATTTGGCCATGGGAGACTCAGAGATGCCTGGAGAGATTGGCTGGATAATAAGGAAAATTATGTTTTACATCTGTTATAAAAGAAACAAATGCCTGAGGTTGACTCTTAAGGGAGTAAAAATATGAATAAAAGGTGTGTGTGGGGTGGGGTGTGAAACTCAGCTCAGTGGGGCTGTGGAACGGTGAGTGTTAGAGTTAGTGACTGGGGAGGGTCAGGTCACCCACCCGCTGGAGAACGAAGATAACTTGGGGCTCTGGGAGAGAGCTGGGATCGAACCCTTGTTCACACCCCTTCCCAGCCGGGACCGGCTCCACTGACACGTGCCAGAGGGAACTATTTCCTGGCAGGTTGGACACATGGCTCAGGCCACACGCCAATGTTCTGACTTCCGGGACTTCCCTCATTTATGTCAGTGAGACCAGTGGTGTGTATGGGGGGGAGTGGTGGGGGGAAGTGGGGTGGGAAGTAGTTTGTGCTCGACCTTGGTGAGCTGTGGGAGATTCCCATGGACCTGTGGAGTTTAAAGCTGGTGTCATATGTGCGTCCACCCTGATGCCCCTTCTCATGCCCATCCCACAGCTGTGCTCTGGGTGTGTCACTCCTGCTCCCCCCCCCCCCGCTGCCATGTGAACAGGGATGATACAGCCATGCGGTGAGCGCGGGGCAGGGCAGCCCCCGGCTCACTGGAAGGGGGGTGGGCTGGTGCTAAAGGAGAAGATATCTTGGGTTACTGGGGTTAAGGGACATTTTATTGTACATCGCTCTGCACCTCAAACCACTGACACTGTTCTAAAAACTGGGACAGGGACCATGAGGCAGAATCAGACACGGGGGGAGAAAGTGAATTGTGATATCAGACTGGTCAGCCCCGGATGGGAGCGAGAGGAAATGAGAGGGGATTGGGGGAGGGGAGAAGTTACTCTCATTTTTGGGTCATGGTGTTGTCCCACTCGGGTGCAAAATCCCCAGAAAAAAGCGGGGAGGTCAGCTCCCTTCCCCCCCTCCCGCCCCCCATCTAGAAGTGCTTGAGTGGTCACGGTTTTACTGTTTGTGAAATATCCCGTTATTGCATGTCCGGGGGGTGGTGCGCCAGTCCAGGGCAGATGGAATCAGAAGGAAAATGAGAAGCGCGGAGCAGCAGACACCAGGAAACGCCTCAAGCGCTGGGCTCCCTGACTCTGTCCTCACCTCTCATCTGTGGGTCTCTGCTTCTCCCTGCCTCACAGCCTCTGCCTGGGAGAGTCCAGTCAACCTCGCGGGAATCCACTCTAGCTGGGCCTCAGCGCAATCCTGGGTTATTGGTGCAGACTTTTATCTCCCCGGTCACTACATTCAATTTAGGAAATCTATTATGGGTTGGCTCCTTAACTCTGCCCACTGACATCAGCTGACGTCAGGAATTCTGGAATGCCATCTTCAGAACCCCAGGCCTGCCCCGTTCCAGGGGGAGCTGAGCGGGCTGTGCTCAGGAACTAAGTGATCCCTGAGCCACAGGCTGAGCTGGGCCTGGTGCCGCCATGGGTGACATTGCAAGCAGGGAATGAAAGGGTTAACACCTGCTAGCAGGTTATCATTACTCCTATGTCCGTCCTCACTGCTGTGCCTCGCGCTGAGCTGTTTGTGCATCTGCTGCCCCATGTATCTGTCAAGGCTGTTTCCCCACTCTGACACTTCCAATGTAGAAGGTGGGACCCGCAAAAGACCTTAAAATACTAGTCACTAAAGGCTGCCTTAAAACTCCCCAAGGTTACAGACTCCCTGGCCTTGGACCGGTATCACTGCCACCACCCAAATGCAAAAACCCCTTTGAGAACCCAGAAAGGCGCACTTGGGCATTCCTTCCTGTGGGTACCCTCCAGCCCCTTCACCCGCTCTCCGGGGAACAGCTGAGTAAGAAAACAAAGGAAATCAGCTGTTGCCACCAGCTAATTAAACAACATGCACAAACCTCTTAGGGACACAAAAATCAATCCTGTTCTTAAAAAAGGTAAATTTTATTAAAAATAAAAAGAAAGAAAATAAATCTGGAACTTAGGCTTTTTGCTAGGTTTAAAAAAAGCAATTGCAAGGATTAAGCATCAAGATAGCTTCTTGAGGTCCAGCTTAGAGGTTGCAAGCAAAACAAAAGCACCTGGGTGTTAGCACAGATGAATCCACAAGCCATAAAAAAATAAAAAGAGATAAACCTAATCACGTCTTCCTAGACATTTCCTGATCTTCTTACATATCTGGGGTTTCAAATGAATAGTTTCTAGGTATGATCTGTTGACTTTTCATACCTGGCCCAAAGCTCTTACAGCATTGCTGCTCTGTCCCCCCTCTCCAGAGTAGAACAACAGACAGACAAAGGGGAAGATTTTTTCCCAGTTTTAAAAAGTTCTAGACTTCCTATTGGCTCTTTGGGTCAGGTGCCCACTTCCTTCCTTTTACTTACGCAGGGAGACGTTTTAACCCTTTACCGGAAAGCAAGTAGAGAACAACTACTAAAAGGGATTGTATAGCTAACTGGCTGGCTGGGTGTCCATAAAAGGGAGCTACCCCCCGCCCCTTTCATTTATCACCCCCCCCAAATTCTGATTTAATCCAACAGCCTAACTGTAATAATGGTTCTAATAATAATTCTAACTGTAAACCTTACACTTACTGTAACACTGAGTCAGACACTAAAATTAATCTGGGCCCTGATACTTACATTTACCCATACTGAGCCATACCCTTAGCCCTAACCATAACATCAACCCTAATCCTACCTTTAATCCTAACACTAATCATACCCTTATCTCTAACCTTAACCCTATCCCTAACCCTAACCTTAACTCTAATCATACCCTCATCTGTAACCTTAACCCTATCCCTCACTCTAACCTTAACCCTAATCATACCCTCATCTGTAACCTTAACCCTAACCCTAACCCTAACCTTAACCCTAATCATACCCTTATCGCTAACCTTAACCCTAACCCTAACCTTAGACATAACCCTAATGGCAACACTCTGATTTATGCCGTTTTATGTACATGTATTTTAATAAGGCTGGATTTTATTCTCTCTAAATTTTGTTCAGGGAACTCTAATTGCTGGGAGGAGTGTGTGTGTTTTTTTCCCACCAGAAGCCCCAAGATGTATTGATTGCAGCATTCTGTACAGTTCCAGCCACGTGGCACAAGAGTAAAATTTGGAACTGCAAGATCAGCCGGGAATAGATCCTGGCGAGTTAGTAGGGGAGCTGCAGATTCTTGTCATTCTGGTGAGAAGAAGAATGATACTGGTGTGTTCAATTACTAAATATTTTATTTAGAGCATCCAATTTTCTGGTGAGAGCGATGGATGCGAGAATGGGGCCGTTATTAAAGGAGAGACAATGGGGTGCCCAGTTTCGTGTAGGTTCTCAGATTTAATCTCTTTACATTTTACAGACCTTGGGTGCCCCAAGAGCAGAACACCCACTCAGAGGGAAGGTTTTTCTCTGAGCTTCCACTACAGAGAGTGTCTCGCAGTAATACCAGGCAGTGTCCTCGGGTCTCAAGCTGTTCCTGTGCGAATACAGCAGGTCAATGTGGTTGTCCCTGGAGATGGTAAATTAGCCTTTTATTGAATTGGTGTAACCTGTGTGTCACTTCCACAGCTGTCTGTGGTGGAGACCCATTCCAGTCCCCTTCCTGGGGACCCAGCCCAGCAGGAACTGCTGAAGGTGAACCCAGGGGCTTTGTAGTAGAGGCAGAGAGAGTCTCCAGGGCTTTTTCACACCCCTCTGGACTCCATCACCTGCACCTGCATCCGGGCACCTGAAAACCAAGGCAAATCAGGAGATTCTGAATGAGAAGAAATCTCAGGAGCAATTTTGGGGGGAGAAAATCACCTCTGAGCAGGGCCAATCAGAGGGGGGGCCAGGAGGGCCATTTGGCCTGGGCCTCAAGCTCAAAGGGGGCCTCAGATTTAGACATTTGTTAATTTTTTGGCATTTGATAAGTTTCCCAACTTGTTTTTATGCTTATCCCTATCGAACCAAAATGTGACACTCTCTCAGCTTAGAGCTGCAAATTTAAGCAAATAAAAGATGTGATTTGGTAAAAGACATAATTTTTTTGTTAACTGATATAGATTTTGTCATATTATAGAGTTAAAAATATTCATAAATATTAATACAAATATATCGGTTCTGATGGCACAAGATTGGACCGTGATGAACGTGTCCGCTCAGATCAGCCGATTATATAAACAAACCACTACTAGTGGCTGGTGCTGGATGAAGTGCGTGTTGAAAGGTAGAGAATTGTTACATTTTAGTGCAGGGGTGGGCAAACTTTTTGGGCTGAGGGCCACATCAGGGTGGGGAAATTGTATGTAGGGCCGGGGCAGGGGGTTGGGATGCAGGAGGGAATGCAGGGTGTGTGAGGGGGTGTGGTGTGCAGGAAGGGGCTCAGGGCAAGGGATTGGGGCAGAGGAGGGGTGTGGGGTGTACGAGGGGGCTCAGGGAAGGGGGTTGGGGTGCAGGAGGGGTGTGGGGTGTGACAGGGAGCTTAGGGCAGGGGGGTGGGGTGCAGGAGGGGTGCGGGGTGTATGAGGGGGCTTAGGGCTGGGAGTTGGGGTGCAGGAGGGGTGTGAGGTGCACGCAGGGGGCTTAGGGCAGGGACTTGGGGGGTGGGGTGCAGGAGGGGTTCAGGCTCCGGCCCAGCGCCGTTTACCTAAAGCAGCTCCGGGGTGGCAGCAGGGCGCACCGGGGCCAGGGCACGCTTCATGACGGCCTGTCCTGTCCCTGGCCCCGCGCCGCTCCAGGAAGCCCTATGGCCCCTGGGGGAGGAGGGAGCAGAGGGCTCCATGGGCTTTGCCCTTGCCACGCCTCCAGGTACCTTCCCCAAAGCTCCTATTGGTCGTGATTCCCCGTTCCCAGCCAATGGGAGCTGCGGGGGGGGGGGGGGGGTTTCGGGGGGGAGGGGGGCCCCGCGGGGCCCCCTCCCCCCCCCCCCCGCGCCCGGGGCCACAGGGATGTGGTGCCGGCTTTTTCTGACAGGCTGAGGGGCCCGCAGCACCGGGGGGGCAATCCCTCAGGCCGGATCCAAAGCCCTGAGGGGCCGGATCCGGCCCACGGGCCGTAGTTGCCCACCCCTGAGGGGGGCATGATAACAGTTTACAAGTACATAAAAGGAGGAGTACAAGGAGGAGGGTGACAAATTATTCTCTTTAACCTCTTAGGATAGGACAAGAAGCAATGGGCTTAAATTGCATCAAGGGAGGTTTGACATTAGGAAAAACTTCTTAACTGTGAGGGTTGTTAAGCACTGGAATAACTTTCCCAGGGAGGTTATGGAATCTCCTTCACTGAAGTTTTTTAAGAGCAGGTTAGACAAACACTTGTCAGGGATGGTCTAGATAACACTGAATCCTGCCATGAGTGCAGGGGACAGGACTAGATGACTTCTGGAGCTCCCTTCCAGTCCCAGGGTTCTATAGATGGATATTGAGCTCTGAAACCCGAGGACTGATTTTTTTTCACTCTGGTTGTGGATCCCTCTGCTCAGGGCTGGATTGTTTGTGAAAGTGCTGCCCCCACGCGGCACACGGGAGAAGCGCGGTTCTGCAGCTCAGGTTTTTGTATGAACCCTCTCGGGATTCCCCTGAGTGTGTCTCTCGCACAGTAATACCGGGCGGTGTCCTCGGGTTTCAGGCCGGTCATTTGCAGGTACAACAGGCTGTTGGGGTCATCTCTGGAGATGGTGAATCTCCCTTTTACGGAGTCACTGTAGTATATGCTGGTGCTGTAAATGTAGGTGACCCACTCCAGTCCCTTCCCAGGAGCCTGGCGGACCCAGTTCATCCCATATCTGCGGAAGGTGAACCCGGAGGCTTTGCAGGAGAGGCGGAGAGGCTCTCCGGGCTTTTTCACGTCCCCTCCGGACTCCACCAGCTGGATTGGGGACCGGGCACCTGGGAATAACAATTAATTATGGGGAACATGAGTATCTCGGGCAATAGCACAATAATCCCCCGCCTCCCCAATACATCCAATCCATGGAAAGGGAGAATTTACCTTCCAGAGATGCTGCAATGAGAACGAGGTACAACCAAAGCTTCATTTTCCCAGGGGTTGGAGGGGAAAGTTCTCAGGGGGGTTGGCTGGTAACTGCACAGACCCAGGGCCTGCAGATTGTCTCTCTGGGTGCAGCCTGGGCAGAGAGAGGGGCAGATTTAAACAAGAAACTCTCACCCTCATTTGCATATTCCCCTCCTTATAAGAGACACTCAGCATTTCCTAGAGCTCACTCAGTTTCTTTGTGTGTGGCTGAGAGACGAGGCGGCACTTTGTCTCTGTGGTACCGCCCTTGTCTCAGTCGGAGCTTCCTACTTGACTATAAGGAAACCAACTGTCATCTTCGTTATCCCTTTTCTAGCTCCCTCACCCAACCGTGACCCTGAGGATAAAGCCCACCTTCATAGGTGTCTTAACCGGAAAACCACATGAATACCTTACTTAGAACACTAAATCCTGACTTTACCAGAATGCAGTTCTTACCCTGAATCTAAATTCTAACCCAGAGATCGGCAACCTTTGGCACGCCGCTCGCCAGGGTAAGCACCCTGGCAGGCCTGCCACGTCCCCAGGTTTGGCTGATCGCGGCTCCCACTGACTGCGGTTCACTGTTCCAGGCTAATGGGAGCTACAGGAAGCGGCGTGGGCCAAGGGACGTGCTGGCCGCCGCTTCCCGCCTCCCCCATTGGCCTGGAGCGGCGAACCACGGCTAGTGGGAGCCGCGATGGGCCGAACCTGCCGATGCGGCAGGGAAACAAACCGACCCGGCCTGCCAGGGTGCTTACTGTTGTGTATTTGGTTGTTGTGGTAATAGAATCTTGTGTTGCTATGGCAACTGAGTTAGATTATTAGGGGATAGCCCAGCCAGTTTTGGCTGGCAGTTGACTAGTTCTGGTGTGGCAATAAATGGCTGCTCCAAGGTTTACGGCTCTCTGTGTCTCCAGTGATTTCTTCCTAAAACTGTTGCCCCCAAGGATATAACAACGTGGTTACGAGGATGGGATCTCTGTGCTGCCCCAGCAACAGAAGGAAGTAGAAGTTAAGGTACAGAAAAAAAAATCTTTTTTGCTGCTGGAAGGGGGTGAGAAGTGGATTGTTTGAACTGACTGTGCAAACTGAAACTAAAACCATGGCTACACTTACAGGGCCACTGGAACCTATTGAGAAGACTATAGTGCAATGGCCTGTATATACTGAGCGTTTTGAGCTTTTTGTTATTGCAAATGACATTACAGAAGAGAAGAATGTGCCAATATTCTTAAGTGTTGTAGGGGCTAAGACCTACTCCCTGCTACGCAGCTTACTACACCCTGTTAAGCCAGAGACTAAATCTTACAGTGACATTGTGGAAATCCTGAGGTCCCATTTTTCTCCAAAACCACTGGTAATTGCTGAAAGATATAGGTTCCACAAAAGAGACCAGAAAGGGAAATCTGTATACCCTAGAGCAGACCCCGGATGACCAAAGAGATGCCTCCTCACAAGAAGAAGAGCCACTCCATGTTTTGTCTTTGGCAGTGGGCTCACATGAATACTGGGTAACCCCGTTGTTGGACGGCAAACCTATACGCATGGAACTGGACACCGGTGCAGCCGTTTTGCTGGTCTCAGAGACTGTGTATAAAGAAAAGCTACAGCATCTTCCACTTAAAGCAACAAAAACAGTGCTGAAGACATATATGGGAGAAGCTGTGCCCATGTTGGGCACTACTGATGTTAAGGTGCAGCTCAATGGACAGGCTGCTAAATTGCCACTGTTTGTGGTGAGAGGCAATTACCCAGCCTTAATGGGTAAGTCTTGGCTTAGGAAGATCCAGCTGAATTGGGCAGAAGTGCACGAAGTGACTAAAGAAGAAAACCATCTGACTGCTATACTAAGGAAACATGCTGCTGTTTTTGGAGAGGATCTGGGAAGTATGAAGGGAATCACTGTGACATTGAACATTAAACCTGACAGTCAACCAAAATATCTGAAAGCCAGAACTGTGCCATATGCCATCAGGCCAAAGCGGACCTGGAGCGCCTGGTCACAAATGGAATCCTAATACCAGTTACCCATAGTCCATGGGCAACTCCTATCATTCCAATAGTGAAGAAAGATGGCTCCCTCCAGATTTGGGGTGATTTTAAAGTCACTGTCAACCCAGTGTTGTGTGCAGAGCAATACCCGCTTCCCCGCATCGATGACCTCTTTGCGGGCCTGGCTGGGGGACAAAAGTTCAGTAAGATTGATCTGAGTCAAGCGTATTTACAGATGCACATCGATGAAAAGTCTCAAGAGCTGTTGACGATTGTGACTCATAAGGGGCTTTATCGATACTGTCGCCTATCCTTCGGAATAACATCTGCTCCAGCCCAGTTCCAGAGGGCTATGGACCAGATCTTGTGTGGCTTGCCAGGAGTCCAGTGCTATCTGGATGACATCCGGGTCACTGGAAGGATTGAGAAGGATCATCTAAAGAATTTAGAGGCTACCCTACAAAGACTGGAAGAGTATGGACTGCGAGTCCACAAAGACAAGTGTGAATTCTTCCAGCCCTCTGTTGAATATTTGGGACACATCATTGATGCTGCGTGTCTTCATAAGGCCCCTGCCAAAGTTAAGGCTATTGTGGAGGCTCCCCCTCCTCGAAATGTTAGCCAGCTGTGCTCGTTTCTAGGACTATTGAACTATTATGGAAAATTCATCTCACAGTTAGCCACACTGCTAAAACCACTTCACAAACTCTGTGGGCAGAACAAGGCCTGGAAGTGGACTTAAGCCTGTGATGTTGCATTTAACAAAGCTAAGGATGCATTGCTAAATTCTGAAGTTCTGACACACTTTGATCCATCCTTACCCCTACAGTTGGCCTGCGATGCGTCCCCTTATGGAGTGGGAGCAGTCGTGTCACACATTATGCCTTCGGGAGAAGAGAGACCTATTGCTTTTACTTCACGCACTCTAAGCAAAGCAGAAACTAACTATGCCCAAATCGAACGTGAGGCATTGGGAATCGTTTTCGGAATTCAGAAGTTTCATCAGTACCTGTTCGGATGGAAGTTTACTCTTCTCACAGACCATCAATCCCTGACTTAAATTTTTGGATCCCACACAGGCATTCCCCCATTAGCCACTAGTCATATGCAATGGTGGGAATTGTTGCTTTCCGCGCACACATATGAAATCAAATATCGGAAATCCACTCTGCATGGCAATGCGGATGGTCTCTCAAGGCTGCCTTTGCCAGTCAACCATGCAGATATTGCCCAGAAGGAAATCTTTTACTTTGAACAAGTAGAGAATACACCCATCACTTCTACTCAGATAAAGAAGGCAACTCTAGTTGACACAATATTGTCCCAGGTTATGGACCTGGTGATGCATGGAACATCTCGACGAACCTCTCTGGTCTCACCCGACCTTGTTACTTACATGTCCAGGAGGACAGAGTTATCAATCCAATCTGGTTGTTTGTTGTGGGGGAGACATGTCATTATCCCACCACCACTGAGATCACAGATGTTAGAACAGCTCCATTCTGGTCACTGTGGAATAGTGCTCATGAAGGAAATTGCACAAAGCTATTTTTGGTGGCCTGGATTGGACAGTCTTATTGAAGAGAAGGCAAGAGCTTGTATGTCATGTCAGGGTGTGAGAAATGCACCCCAGTGGGCACCCCTACATCCATGGTCTGGCCTGAAAACCCGTGGCAACGTATTCACGTTGACTTCGCTCTCCCCCTTGAAGGAAGCTTGTTCTTGGTGGTGGTAGATGCCCATTCTAAATGTCCAGAAGTCTCTATAATGCAGTCCATACTGCAGAGAGTACTATCCAATAATTATGAGGACTCTTTAGTCATTTCAGTCTGCCAGAACAACTTGTGAGTGACAACGGACCGCAGTTCGTCTCTCAGGAGTTTCAAAATTTTATGAAGGCAAATGGGATACATCACATCACTTCAGCACCATATCATCCATCCATCAATGCTTTGATCTGCTGAAACCTTCTGAACCCAAAAAAATTGTGCAACATCAGCAGCAAGATCAAGTCATCAGGCGTGCACCCAGAGCAAAAGACCGAACCTTTAGCCCGGGACAGACCATTTTGGCTCGAAATTATACTTCTGGAGCTAAATGGGTCCCTGCCACTGTCATCGCTCAAACGGGATCTGTTTCCTACACAGTCCGGATTGCAGAGGATCTCACCTGGAGGCGACATCTAGATCAGCTTCTGCCAGGTCATACCAGTCCTCAGGACACATCTTCAGTTGAGTTGCCTGATTTCACCACATCCGGCGAGACACTGAATCAAGAGTCACATGTTCCTGACTTTTTCCCTCCATTACTTCCAGAGGCAGAGATACCCCTCTGCCCAGCACGAGCTGATGCCCCATCCTCACCCATTCACCCTACAATCACTGAGCCCATTGTCAGGCCCGCGCCCAAGACACTTTCGGGTTCAACAACACCAGAAGACCACCGTAATCCACATGGAGACTGAAGGCCTCCTCGTCGGCTGGATCTTTAGCTAGGGCCAACCCGCAGTTACGGGGCAAAATAATCCCCAGGGTTTAGCCAGGAATGGAGGCAGTCTACTCTCCTTCTCTAGTTTAGTGTTTGTTTTATTTAGGGGACATTCGTATTAAGGGGGGAGGAATATGTTGTGTATTTGGTTGTCATGGTAATAGAATCTTGTGTTGCTTTGGCAACTGAGATAGATTATTAGGGGATAGCCCAGCCAGTTTTGGGTGGCTGTTGGTAAGTTCTGAGTGTGGCAATAAATGGCTGCTCCAAGGTTTACAGCTCTCTGTGTCTCCAGTGATTTCTTCCTAAAACTGTTGCCCCCAAGGATATAACACATATCCTGGTGAGCTGTGTGCCAAAGGTTGCCGATCCCTGTTCTAACCTGACTTTTAATACAGGCCCTCACCCTTCATCCCTACCTTGAAACTAGCACTAGGAGAGACTTAGGAAAGTCCTGGCCCGTATCTAATTCAGTGGGAGCTGTGTTCTGTGACCCTAGTGCCCCCCTGACCTCCCACCAACAGGCCTCTGCTTCTCCCT